ATAGATTTAGCAAAAATCACACAAAGGGTAGTTAATTAATCAATTTTGTTTTTTTTTGCACTGCTATCTGTTCGGTGACTCAATACTATATTTACCTGAAATGAGATTGGCTGAGCAGCGCTAGCAGTACACTGTATATGCTGGTACTAACTTCTGCCACGGAGAACCTAACGGGTAACCGGGGCTCCGGCTCGACGTGCAGGAGACGGAACGGGGTGGTTTTTAGTCAGTAAGAGTCTGACACTCCCTCCCGCTTCACCCAGGCGGGAGCAGTCATTCGATGATTTTCCCCCCTTAAAAAAAAAACTTCTGCCAGTGGCTTCGCACATGGTCCCGTGGGTTAAAAGTAGCCTATGTGTTATTCTATATAATGACCATAATCTATCCTCGCTCCGAAGTTCATCTAGATACCTTCAGCCGTTTTGACGTGAAAGGGAAACAAACAAACATATCAACTTTCGTATATATAACACTAGTTTCTGCCCGCGACTTCGTACGCGCAATCCCGATAATTCCCGTTCCCGTTCTTAATTTTCGATAAAAAGTAAAAAAAAAGAATTGGGTTAAAAGTATCCTATGTCCGTCTCCTGGTTCTAAGCTACCTCCCCACCAATTTTCATCCAAATCGATTTAGCCATTCTTGAGTTATAAATAGTGTAACTAACACGACTTTCTTTTATATATATAGATTAGTAGGATTACCTGAAAGCAGGGTCATCCATACATCATAAGCTGGTATGTAATTCTGGTTAGAAGGTAACGACGGAAAAAAAATACACACATCACACGTCCTAGTACTGAAAATTTCTTACTAAATATCCCATAATACATTTAATCGATACGCCAATGTCGTACGTTATTGATCACATTATAGGTACACGTGTTTCTCCCCTTAACGAAACAACACAAAACCATCGTTTTCCTTTATTGTTGAATATTTATTACAATGTTCATCCATCGAAGCAAATAACGCGTAAAATAACACTATTACCAATTTGTGTTACTACAAATTATAAAGACATTAGTTACCTTCCCTAGCCCTGAAAGTAAATAACTCAACTATATATTCTAAATTAAAAGCATCAACGATTTCTCAGAATGAGAATTCTCCACCGTTTCATTTACCTACTCTTAGAATATAATGACTTAGTCTTACATTTATTTATTTTAGCGAGTAAACCCACAGATAAAACCTAGTTCCATAATATTTTATTACTTTAATCACAAACTCGGTGAATTCCTTATCCACTCGACAACAGTTCTTTCAATTGCTACTCAGGAATTCCTTTGTCGAAAGTAGCTATCCTCACAGACATAAATTTACTGAATACCTATTAATTACATTCTTTCGTATGTTTGATAGTTATCCCGTAGTGCTACACTTTGCTTGGCTAACTTTCAGCCTATATTTTAGGTACGAGAATGAAGTATGAAGTATATCCTTTGTGTTGAAAGAATATATCGAAAAAGGAATTTTGTCTAGCACTGAGTACATCTACATTTATGTTAGAAAAAATCTCAAAGCTATGTTCTATTCGAAAGGAATATAGCTCTGAACTTTGAAATCCTTCGTTTTATCCTGGCTGAGATAAGAGTGTTCATTTTACCAATAACGGCTGATAGATAGCAGTGGGGACAGCAGCCCGTTGGCGGCAATCACAGAATAAAATTCTCCTTTTCCATACATATACATAGTTTCTGCGTATTTACTTGATTTATTGGCGCGTCAACTTCCTGTTTATCGTCTCCTACTAATTCCTTCTACTCATTTATATTCTTCTAGGTAATGTATTCTAAGTTAGTGTTCCCATCCTGCTTTTTCATCGTAGAACAGAACCTTTTGATCTGTGTAATAGTGTGATTTCGATGGTAATCGAAAACGATCGAATTCGACGTTTTTAGTTGCAAATGAAAGCGATTTCGGTTTGCATCGAACATGATTAGGTCGTGTTCAAATCCTAGTTGGATGATTATTAATTCTGTGTTTGTGGATTAATCCTGAGTGTTACATTCTGATTTTATTCCTACTACACACGTATCTCATTGTACACAATATAAATGTGTGTTCATTAATTAATTTACTGAACTTTAATTGCTTTGTGTAGTCGGGTGTGTATGGCAAACATCTAATCCAAGTTTTTTGGCAGAAACTTTGCATTAATTAGTACAACGCGTAGTATAAAACTTTGCTCGATATTAAGTTTCCAGGGCCGCCATTAAGGCGCGTTCCACAATTCTCAGTCAGCATCTCGGCTACAATCATGAATTTAAACGTGAGTAGGTCTTTCGTTTCAATTCGATATTCCCTTTCGCATCACTTCACTCACCTACAAAGTATCCTCCCTCGATTAGGTAGCGTTATTAAACTGCGATCAGTATTCTGTGAATGGCACCAATCAGACAAGGCCAACCTCACGCTGCGGTAATGGACGTAAAACGATAATTTTACGATCCTTATAAAACTCTTACAGGATTATTGCCATCGTGCATGTAATATTCATGATCAGAATTTATATGCGGTAATTCCTTTATGGGATATTTAGATTTTGCTGTTCGATTCGCCTAGCAGATATTTATATTCAGAATATCGTGTGTGTAAAAGCAAGACTTCAATAAGCATATTTTCCGTAAGCATATTTTCTCTAAAATTCATCGAATATCGTTGGTGTGCTATCGTCTGATATGAGTAAAATGCGTGCTGCATCCCTTTGATATTTTTAGACATTATTAGAATTCCGATGAAGTACGGCTTCCGAGTATGCCATAAGTATTATATTGCATTTTTCGGCTTGGGTTTCAATAGGTATAGGTATTGCTAAACCCAGTAAAATAAATACTCTGCTAAAAAATCCTCTTACCTCAATAGGTAATAACAATATTTTAATGCATCTATTAAATAACAAAGCTTAAATTAGTTAGCAGTAATTAATTAAATTTTTTTTTTACAAAATTACCCAAGTAAATATACATTTGCATCCATTCGTTACCCGACTCGGTAATTAGGTACGTAAATTACTGAAGCCGCATGCACTGTGTTGACCAATTGGTAAATTATGTGTAATACGAATTGTAAACATAATCTATGAACTTTGGCTGACATTATTGATGTCAGGGTGATGTTGAAAATATTCTAGGTAGGTATATTTAGAAAGATTATTCGTAAAATGGAGGACAGAGGTTCAAGTAATCTGTAAGGGTTATAGAGTTAAGATGGCACTCGGTTCGCAAGAAACCGCAATTTCGCCATATCAAGATTGAAGAAACTTGTCTTACGGTTGCTAATGAGGGCACGACACTTCCTTAAAACAAAGCGGAGGCTGGCAATAGGAAACCGTTAAAATGAAGAAGAAGGGTCGGGGAAGCAATCTGGTATTCATTGAAGCCGCATTCTACAGTCAAGTTGGCAAGCCATTTTATCTGAGTAAGACAATAATAGAATTCTCAGAAATAAATACAGCTTAAATCCTATACAAGTATCTAAATATAAATTTCCATATTGTTCTTTGAATTCAATAAAATTGTCGTAGTATCTGTATATCCCTTTCACACACTTGTAGTGTCATGTTGCTAGTTGGTTGCACACGATTCCCATATCAGTCGTTTCCACCAATTGATCCTCATAACATAAGAGGTCTGATAAGCGTCATACTATAAGCTAAAGGTCATCTTTTATATAACTTACCAAAATATGGGTGCGTAATATATTTATCGTACCGTATATGAGTTTGATTAATACACAAAGGTTGGGTAGCCCTAATGAAACCCAGCAGATAATATAATACTCGCCGGAATGAGCCAAAAGAAAAAAATAAATCAGACGAAGTCGAGATAGACTTTGGCAGCTCGGGGAGTAATTAATCTGCTCCTTCACCGCGGCCTTAGCATTTAGCGCCTCGAGTAACGAGCGCTGGGCCTCACAAGCCTGATTGGCATCTTTTATATGCAAAGACACGTGATTGTGACCCGGTCGCACTCCTCACGTCTCCCAAGATGACAACCTTAAACTTTTCCCTTTAATTGCCGATATAAACAAGCCCCAAACTTTATATTAGTACCCACTGTACTGTTAGTTTAGTGAAACATCTAATTAATACTAATTTCTAGACGACGCGCCTTTATGTACGTAGGGACGTGAAACGAGCTCCATTTTGAATCACTAGCTGTAAATATTATCCCTTTTAAGTAGAAATAAAATGTAAGTATTGTGAGTGGTGCCGACCTCTGGGAGGATTACCAACGCGAGTTTGTCCTTTATACACGACTGTATGTGTATTACTATTAAGTGAATGTCAAACGTCGACTATTCTTGTTGCTATATTTGGTCTCAGTATCCGGTTCTATATTTTTGATACAATGACAAAATCTCAGAATGTCCCAAATATTATTTATGGATGGGATTAGGAGTGTAGACAAGAGCTTAGTAAGTTAACGGCGACTTTCTGACACTATTCATTGGCACTTGAACTTCGTAATGGCCGTAATATTTCATTGAAGCCTGTGAGTAATAAAATTATCTTTTTATTTATTGTCTAATTAGCAGCGGAGCAATTAGAGTCTAAATTACTTTGGATGAAGTTGTTCTTATTATTTTAGTCCGCAGTAGTGTTCCACTTTAATGGGTCGAGTAAGTATATGAGTTTATATAAAAACTAAATTCGCGCGGTACCAAAAATCTGTCAAGATCGAAATGTTATTGGCAACAGTGTGAATTGACCCGAAATGGCTTGTCAGTTCCATGAATAATAAGGTTCATGTGACCTATAAGTATAATGTGCTAATATCAATGTAAATGTCTGCGAGATGGCTGTGGAGCACTCAATGTAATTGTTATGTTGCGACATTGTACGTCCTGAATGTTAACTGTTACTCGACAGTTAATAGACCCGCCTAGAATTACAACTAATTTACGTTAACAGACAACAGATTTACCGGGAAATGGCGTTGGCTTTTACAAAAAATCACTTTAGCGTGCTACACAAAAACTATTAGGTAGTTAGCATTTATTGCTTGTAACATCCCGACGGCCGGCAGCACATGGTCGGGCTATTGGCTACAGCTGTATATTCCGTAAACATGCCTAAAACAAGCCTTAAAGACAAAAACATTTGCCAGTATAATTTTGTAAGTACAGCATTTAAAGTTCTTAATATTTTTTCGAAGTACAAAAGTTTGTGTAACATCACATTTTTAAATTTAGCCAGCGTTAAATCACCACGTCCGCGTGGACCACATTCAAAGCGTAAAGCTTTGTTGTTTTTATAAAAAGAGGCAGAAAGTCGACGTACCATATTTCTAGCTAGTGTGTGCGGTCCCCACGAAAACTTTATTACAGACATAGCATGATAAACATGTGGCTGGCTCGGTTAAAACACTGTATGAATACCGACAGCCTGTATACAGTTTATAGTTATGTACGGCACAGCTTTCTTCCTCGAGTCTCGAGGAATCTTTGAGCCTTCTCACTCTTTGGCGAATGTTCCAAATTCTTTTCCTCCAGTTTCATATTTCTTTTCGTATTTGGAATTATTGCTTTGTTTACTACCGTAACTTAGGTACATCTAAATACTCAGACATGTAAATAACCCAACAATGGGTATTGTTTCGAAAATGTTCAGTTTCTCCAGAGATAAATTGTTTTTGAAACAAGAATTTGTTAAACGGTGAAATAAACATTGGTCGTGGACCTCGGACTAAATTCAATAGATCACAATGAAAGGAATTGGGAAAATATGATTTTTGTATTTGGATATCGAAGCAAAGAGGTCAATATTTGTAAATCATTTGATTACGATTATGGAAATACGTGCGTCCCTTTCAACAAAATTTCATATTATGTAGGCGTACCCACTCGAGAATACACCTGACCTGTTTATGTTTAATGGTTTGGTCCCCTCATTTGGTGAGCATTATCGCTGTAATTTTCTCTTTTAGGTGTTAACAGTTTAATGCGATTGTTGAGCAATATTGCATTGTTTAATGTTTAAGTGGGTTGCTTTTTTCTCGTCTTCATGATGGTCGCGTGGCGGTAAAACCTAGCTAGAGCAGCATTTTTTTATCTTGTCGGTGCAGGCGTGGCGCAGTGGGCGGGCGACGAGCGCGGCGTGTCCCTGTATACTGTAGCGCTGCCTGCCCGCCAGCCCGCGTCACGGCTCACCACACAAATCACTACGACGCACCCCTTTTAAACACTTTTTAAACCGTGATTTATTTTGCGACAGCATTATCCACACTGCTAATCCTCTTGTGAATTATTGTCCTGAAACTTTGTTGTGGCTGCGGTTCAAGTAATCTAAAAGCTTCTAGTTTTTATACCGTTTAGGGAAAATTCCTCTAATCTATTTTAATCTGAAATGTATATTATTTACATTGCGCCCCTTCCCGTGCCGATTGCTGTTAAAAGGGATGTGGGTACGCTTCATCGAATAATAACATGAATTTATTTAATATCATTTGAATCCTGTTGGAGCCGGCCATTGTTTCGAGGAAATTGTTTTAATTACGTTAATATTCATTTGAAGTTTGTAATCCGATTTTCACTCTTATGTAATAGAGGTCGAAATTAATAGAGGTTGTGTGTAATGGCTGAAGTAAAATCAAAAGTAGGTCCTCGTAATGTAAGGTTCGCATGAGGTGCCCTCGGTCGCTTTGTTCGGGTCCTTTCATGCTGTGCCAGTGGCACTCCAGCCGACCCGCGCCTGTTTGTATTCCGTTCACGAACTTTCCGAATATATTATTTTGTAGGGGTAAGTACAGACGTGGAGGAAACTGATTTAAGAGTTCCCATTCAATAGGGCTCTAAAAGTGCTCGGATAAATTCTCTCCCGCCTACATGCGTGTCCTGCCAATCGGCCACGAGTGCTGTAACTATTGTGCGATTGTTTATACATTTACTGCGGGTCGTTGTTTTTATTTTATTTGAGGGATTATAAATATAAAAGTGTGTGTTCTAATTTGCTTTTATACTAAAAAAACCAGGTCAACATACACTATTCAGTTTATTTAAAATACTGTTGAAAAATACTATTAAGTATGTACATTTTTATGCAGATCAGAATTTTAATAATCACGTGAAAGTTCTACTAATATCGAAAACAAATATTTTTGGTGTACTTCGCCGTGTTTTCCAACTTTTATTTCTAGAACTTGTTCTGTTAGATACCAAATATCAAGCTAAGGGATCCGCGGTAGGTAGGAATTGCTTGCTAAAAAATATAAAGGTAGACGGAACTTAGGCAATGCACCGACTTTATTCAGGTTTTGATAGGACTTTTTGTATATTTTGCAGATGATTGTACCTACATTTGCACTAGAGCGGCTCGGTTATCCTAAAGTGAAAACAGTGTCACTGAATAGTTTCTTTGAAATCCTGTTAAAACGATGAAAGGGGATATGTCTGCGTCGCCTATAAATGAGTGTTTAGCATTTTTGCCATGTTTTTGTTTAGCGCCGGCGAGCACGCTGTCGATCGGCTCTGCCAAACAAAAGAGAACAATTTGCATTTTAACCAACTGATAACTGGACCAGCTCGACGTCGCGCCCTCTAATTTCCTCTGGACCCACCGGAGACAACGTAATTTTCTTTTTTGCACAGACTTAAAGATAAAGAAATAATATTATCTTTTCCCATGGCGGCGAGATAAAACTTTTCCCCGTTTTTAACTAAATTTCGGAGGCCCGATTCGTTATAGCCATTTCATTAAAACCGGACACCTGTAAAACCACGGTAACTGCTTCAATGCTTATTGTTTTGACCGTTCCATGTTCACCTGCGGCATATTCATGAGTATATCGGAGAACACACGGCACAATAGTTCCGATGCCGTCCGAGCTCTGTAATATAATATCGTGAAATATTGATTGATCTAGATTCAAAGGCCGACTCTGACAACTTAGTCAAAGTCAAGCTCTCTGCAATATCTTACGTTCGGCGAATAAAACTATCTAAATCTCACTTTAACATGTGCTGATAACTTTGACAATAGTAGCTTTCGCTGCTCGTGAGACTTATGATAGTATCTAGTGCGGGAGGCGGGGCGGGCGCGAGACTCGCTTGAGGAATTTTGTAGGATTAGTTTGAATATCGTAGATCCGAGCCTTGTTCAGTAATCTGATACGAGGGGTGGCTTTGTTATTTTGTTGTTGCATATTTCATTGTTTAATTTACATTAGATTTTTTCGTCCCGACGGATATGAAAAACGTTGTAGCTCTGAGAACAAAGCCTTTTATTCTGATATCCTGTAAAATTAAAATAAACCTTGGACAATACGCACGCATTGCGTATTCTCTTCAAACAGAAAAAAAAACGAATTACCAACCCTACTTAAATTCTATAATGGCAATATATTTTTGTTGGAATCCTGAAGTGATTACGTTTAAAAAGATACCGTTAGGGCGATAACGTCCTCTTACTTTTCTGATTAAAATATTACAAACAGTGGCCCGCAATAAATCACGGAGGAGCGTGCGTTTATTCAGAATCGTAAATTAAAAAAGTTACCTTCACCAATTGTGAATGAGTTATTGTGCAATATTCAGTTCTGGTTTCTAGTACTAGTGGCGTGAAACCTTCAATATTATGTGAGTCGGGAGATAATTGTATCTACTAGCACCATTGTAATAAAAAAGAATCACGTAATATTAATAATAGTACTTAATTAAATATTCGTACGAAGTAAACGGCCCTTAATAAATGTATTTGTACCCATTGAGGTTTCTGCTTCATAGTTATTAAAATGAAACTTCATTGACTGTGTATGTTAATTAAAACCGTTGTTATGTACGCATAACAACGAAATATAACAGTTAACGGTTGCTGTAAATAAAGTTAACGTTATTGACAAACCGCGTATAAATTATAGAGCATAGATAATCTGTTAGAATCGGTCACATTTGTTGATCTATGTAGCAAATAAATTATCATCGGTTATACCAATATCGATGGTCTTTTGATAACGCAAATAATAGTACAATTCACGATAAACGAAGTGAATACATATGATTTATTGATACATGAGTATATTAAAGTTTACGTTAGGTGTATAAATGACTGAATCTTAGAAAACGTATGTGAAGATTTATCCACAAAAATTTCGTCTATATATTTTACCACACAACTGTAGTTTATTTCCACGTCCTAATGTTAAACTGTCTTTAATTTCGGACTACAATACAAATGGGCCCACAAGTGCGAGGAACTCGTGTCGCCATTTGTTTCACACTGCTTACAGAAGAAATGAAAGATACTGAGATTGTACAAATAAATGTGACATTCATACATTTGGGGGCGTCGTCTGAACTAAATAAAGCCTTAATCTTTTGCTAAGTGTACTCATATGTGTACTTAAATTTAATATATTTGTTCAAGTCGTTTCACATTATTTATTTTATTTAACGAAGTTATAATTTGAAATTTTATTATTGTGTGTTCAGTATTACTGATATTATATTTTATCATCCTCGTATACCTACATTTTGAATAAATAGGGCATTGTCTGTTACGGCAGTAATCTGATGTTTACTATAATATAATGGCGAGTTTCTGCATCATTTGTTTCCCTGCATTGTGAAATGACAATACCTTTAATTAAACTTTTGTATTGCATTTCTCCAACACTGTCAATGCAGAATACAGTTCATATAAAACATATTTTATTATTAACGCTGGTTTATTATTATTCATTATTTTATTAACATTGCCAAACTTGAATATTTAAAAATGTTTGTTTATTTTATATTCATCACTTAATTTATCTCGAAATTCTTGTTTTAATTTTTAGAAGACGCTAAAAAACAAAATACAACGTATTACGAAATACAGCCAGAAATATAACATTGTTGGACATTTTTTGCTCATTTTACGTTCCATTTTTAATATTGAGTTAGCGTTCCGAATTTAAATTTGAAATTGGAAAACAATCTATTCACGTGGGCCAAAGACTAAACATTTGTAGTTATGACACATTTTTGGTGACATTCAACGTGGATTGTGGGTGGCAAATATGAGTGATGTAAAACTGTGATTGGCGAGGTGTGGTGTGATACCGGCGGTTGATGTGATGGCTCGGATTCGTGTCGGTAGTGTGCGTGCGAGAGAGACCCATGGCTAACTCTCCAGACGTGGGCCTGCTCGCCGCCAGCCTGCTTCGGCTTATCATAGGTAAGTTGCCTAATCATAGAATTACTTGGAAATGAGCTATATAAAATTAAATCCGAAATAATACGAATATAAGTACTGGTATAAATCCAACTACAAGCGAGATACTCAGTATAAACTACTAAAGCAAGAATGCCACGTATTCACTATTACTTCCACTATAATTGTATCTTATTACAATTCTATGTACACGTACTGCACGGTTAAATAAAAGAATACAACACTGGAATTTCGATTTCAATTTACGAGTCTGGCACAGCCGTATAGAAGAATGTAAGAAATGTTTTTTTATCCTAGACCTAAAAGGTACGACATGAGAATCAACTTAGTCGTAAGAAAAATAAACTATCCGTCTTTCATTACTCGCTTTGAAACTATTTCTAGACAAATATGTGTGTCCTTTGTCTTCATTGATCAACATTAAACTGTCATGGATCTCATTACTTTAATGTATCATGATCCCGTGCTACGTAAATTAAATACTTATTTCTTACGTTACGTTTTATACGTAGCGGAAAATCTTTATTCAAATCAAGGACTATCTTTCGGGGAACATCAAGAAAAATGGCCGCTTTCGGGGAACAACTTTCATCAGAACATGATCTAAATATTTCCATGAAGTTCGCTTCAAGCATAGATCCTCATCGCACATGTTGTCACAAAATGAGACTTTCCGCTTCATTTTACCTTATGTGCGGATGCTATGCGATGGATGCGGATATTACAGGGTATATCGCGCCTTCTAACCAGGAACATAACAAACGGTATTTTGTTAAATTCGCACACCACATACCTTAAGAAATGATGCGAAAAACTAACGCCGACGCATATAGATGAGGGCTATAAACATTCCGGAGTTCACAATCTGATAAATAAGGGTGGATTCAATCAATATACTCGCTATAAATTCCAGCGAACATCGTGCCAGGTCATGTTTCTATGTATTCGAATGAATGTTGGGATTTGATAACGCACCGCACATAATACTCATTACCACACAATACCATCAACTGCGCTTTGCCAAACAACCGAATGACAACAGTAGTCTGGTTAGCGAACTATACAATACATTGTAGGTCATTTTGAAATGGAGTACGTGTAGTGTATAACAGAAAATAAACAATGTCCCGCTCTAATGTACCCATGTATCTACTAAGGTAGTCGTATCCAGCCTTTTGTATCCTCAAAATGTGAGCGGGAATTGGTAGCGACGAGTATAAATCTTGCCCATAGCGATGTCTCTGTCACATTTGTGATAATAAACGAGACAAAAGTATCAACATTTAAAATAGTGTTTTTCCTCCGTTTTTGTGTTAGTTGCTTATAGTTGGGTACATAGTTGTTGCCACGTGTCCTAACAAAGCGTTATACAACGGTCATTATGAACTTCTTCTGGTCTTCCTTTTGTTTTTATATTTACATGGAAAGAAATGAACATGGAGGAAAGATTGCTTTTCTGTCTCGGTTTTTATATAGAAAAGTATTTAGCGTGGAATGAAGATATATTTCAATTTAATTTCCGTTCAGACGTAGGAAGTTTACCCGCAGACTTTGTACGTATTGCGTCATACACGTATGAGCATTATTTTTAATATGGATTAGATATTAATACCTCATGAAATCTACATTATTCAAATAACAAATAGATGATTTAAGATTCGACAAATTGATGAAAATCAGGCGAGCGGATTATTCGGTGCACACGATGCGATATCTTCGTTTGGCTCCAGTTAATTTGATAACCCTATTGAATACATACCTAGCATACCTAATTGTATTTAGCATACACGAGCCGGGACGTGTTCCTATTTACGTAGCGTGTGTAGTTGGTGACAGTGCAGAGAGACAGTTGCTTCGCTTCTTTGCTTTTACAAGTTTTAATCTTCCTAATGCGTTCGTCTGGTGCGCACACTTCACAAAACGCTCGCCTCCGCTTATGTTAACCGGCTCACAGCTTATGTTTAATATTTGTTTGAACATTACGCTTGTATGCTACTAACAATCTTCTGTTTAAACTGCTACTACTTGTAACAATACTATTTGGTAATAACATAAGGAAGTTTGGAAATAACACCAGTGACGGAAAAGCTAAGGGGAGGCCGTTTGTCGTGGTATGGTTATTTTATGAGAAGGAATGAAAGGCGTCTGACAAAGAGAGTGATGGATACTTTGAAAGGGGGAACTAGAAGAGTTGGCATTTTTTGTGTGGGATAAGGACGAATGTGGAGATACTAACATACATAATGTACCCATGTAGACGACGAGTCGAAAGTACTTGTCTTTATTCCACCCATGACTTTTAAAAATAGAAACAAGTTAAAAATCAGAGTAGGCTGTCTATATAGGTCGTTTAGTTGTTTGTTTTTTAAATATACGCCCATAAAAGTTTTGTAAACGGTGGAACTCGTTGTTGAGACTAAACAGGGTGCAGGCTGCAGTCGCCCTGCGGCACTTGTACAGCTGTTGCCAGCAGCGTGACTAATTCCCTTGCATCTACTGCCATTGTTGTCGCCGTCTAGGTGACAAAAACAACTGTTTCGCCTCATATCGCGGCTTACAATTTGACGTGGAACGTTTTATTCAGCCAACGGCATTTGTTCACGTTTTTCAACCCACCGTTATTTTATTCATGTTCTTTTCAAGTTTACCTTTGCCCCGAGTGACAAAAAAGCTGTATTGCTGTTTTTTCTCACAGTACATTTTTATCGTTATTCTAAGGATAGGATTACGGGTATATCTATAATTTACACGTTGCGGTGCTGAAGGGATTTACAAATTCTGCTCGAATCCGTCTTACCCAATAAATCCATTCGATTTCGTGGGGAACAGCGCTTACATTGGTACGCCCACTTCCGCGCAGAACATTGACTACTTACAACTTTGCATGTTTCAAACACTTGTAGCTTTAATTGGTCTAGATTTAGTTCGAACTCGCTTTGTGACATCACATGTACACTTAGTTATAAACTAGATGTGATACTGCAAAGAGACGTACGTTCGCTAAACTTTAGCAAAATTCTCCGAAGTATCTGTTCTGTTTAACAATGTAATTATGTATCTAAGAAATGAGACTACCTCCTTTGATTGTTTCCTTTTCATTATTTTATACAGAAGTAGATAGCAAAAATGGTATAAAAGAATTATTTAAATCATAACAGCCTCAAAACTCCCTTCTCTTGGAAGTTTTGAGAAAAATAATTTATTCATTTAAATATACGTCTTTTCTCTTTATATCCTTTTGCTATAATTGCACATGACTTTGTTATATTGAAAATATCTCAGTTTTTTAACTTATTTAATATTGCAGCAGCTTTCGGTGGAATTAATCGGTTTAGTAAGTAACTTGTTCAACTAAATCTCCTACCTCCTAGTAGGTACCTACTGCTTTTTCGTTGCACAACTCCGAGACTTGACAATCATGGTATTCTAATGAACACAAATACAAATATTATTCTAATAACTGTTCTTATGTAGTCTCTACTAGCTATCAAACAAGAACATTTTTAAATTCATGAAAGGGATGGGGTAGGCAAATGTTCAATACATATACCTATCTACATAGGTGTATCAGTAGTCGATATCGAATATAATCATTAATTTATCGTGTTCCCGTGTAATATTATTCAATGTTACGACTCGGTAATAAAACTTTGCGGCTACCATCAACATTTTGGATACATAATTGCAACAGTAAATTTACTTCATACAGCGTCGAACAAAGTGCCAAACTCAGCGTGAGAGAAACTTTAAAGTTAATTATTAACTTGTGAAGATAATTAATATCTGTGCCGTTGTTTGTGACAGGTTCACATGTTGAGGAAACAGTACTGATATATAAACTAACACTGGACTCAAGTGGACACAAGTTTCGTTCAAATACTTCATGTTTATTCCAACTTTAAACGGTAGTTATTATCCTACGAACAAATTTGACGTGAGATTGTATTTACCGTGACTTTGTACTGCCATTATCTAGTAGTATAAAGGGTAAACGTGATCGTAATAAAAGTGATGTATTTGTGGTTTTATTACCGTTGGAAGAAATTGACAAAATGGCCACGTAGCTATCGGGATGACTGGTTTATTGGTACATGTATAAAGAATAGTAGTTCCAATTTCTAAGTACAAAGAATCTTTGAATATTTTTGCAAAAGGATTAAAAAGACTTGACTTTTCGAATTGTATCTGTATAGTAAATAACATTAGACATCATTTTGAATAGCACTATATACTACTTGTCGTCTCGGAGATATAGAAAGAATATGTCACAATTCTGAGTGAAATATTAAATGTCGATTATAGGTGAGGACCTCTGCGGTGAACGCTAACGGACTAGCGGTTAGTAACACTCGGCTGTAGTGGTTTCCATTGATGGATTATTGCTAACCACGTTGATAGACTAATCTAAAGCCAATAAAATTCATTGCGGTTGCTCGTCATTTGTTTTAGCTGTGTATTTTCCGAGGACAACATTTTTTTTGTACAAAATATGACTTATAAATATCGTATGAAAAGCTTTGATTCACTATTTCAAACTAGACAGTTCTGTGTCAATGATTTAGAAATGACCTCTGAACTTTAAGCCAGTAAATCTTCAACAATTAGTTTCCGATTAAGGCACAGTAATTTGGAAAATACCTTCCCCTTCAGCCAGGAAATGGGACCCCATGCCTCAGTTTTCCTTAGCCATCCTTTTACGAAGAATGATGACAAAACTTTTGGAATTAAGAACGTCGGCGTGACTATGTTTTAAAATGTCATATTTCAGATCGACTCAATAAATTTTTCCAATTCTTTAAATATTCTTTCCGTAAGGGACGAGTTGGAGCAGAACTACTTTATTCTCTTTAATTGAAACTTGGCAATTTCTAAGTAGAGAGGGACTTTCCTTTCTGCATTATTAGTTTCTTGATAACACTATATTATTCTGTTGTAAAGACTGTAATTATTTAGACTAACGTCATCATCAATGGAGCGGATGAGTTTATTGTTGATTACCGTAAACTAATACTGTATAATTTTAGATGATCCTTATATTACTATTGTGTAATGTGGCGTCTCTATTCGACTATTGATAGGCATTATTATTTCGAATTTCAGAGTACAATAATAATCTAAACTGTGTTACTAAGAGAAGATTAGAGTCTTTGTATAGAAGATCGATATTTGTTGCTAAGGGCAGACATTAGACAGGCATATCGAAAGATTGACATGAGATAATCAAATCATCCCAAGTAACTCACCAAATTTTTATAAAATATAAACTTAAACATCAACGTAAAAAATAAAATAATTGAAATATTTAGACAGAGTGGGCGGCGCGGGCGCGTGTCGCGTCTTGTAGGGTGGGTCAAGAGGCTATGACGGGCACTCGACCTGCACCACCTCAACACGGCTTTTAAACTTTTTCGAAACCCTACAGAGGCTTTCATTAAGCCACGAATACTGCCTCTAGTCTAGAATGTGGTTTTCCTTAAAACATGTATTTAAGTCACAAATGTGTTTTAGTTTGTTATTATACAATTTTGTGGCAAAAACAATGAGCTATATACATATTTGGCATTTCTAGTAACGTTTATGCCAAATGTAGCGTGCAATTACATCTGTTTAGTGTTGTGTGAACAGATTCAAATCATATTAGTAATATTTCATTAGTAATAATTAACAATTTTGAAATTATATTCTAAACAGTGCGATCAATTTGCTATTTACATAATAACATAGTGTATTACCTAGGCACTAGTATATAATTAAGTCTATACATCTGTACATTAGGTAACTTCATCAATAAACACACGTAAACTTGTTCAATTACTATTTGATTTTCACATCCAACCGTATCTCGTATAGATTTTAACTCGAAGCCTTTTGCGAATTGATTTCCCATAGCCAATTACGGCTACCTGATTCCCTTAGGCTACAATATTTTTGAGAAACACTTTATACATGTGAATTCTGTATGGACGCTTGTCAATTTTTACCGAGTTCAAACATAGAAGGTTCTCAATACGACCTTTTTTTGAGAGGAAATAATCATCAAATGACTTCTCCCGCCCGGGTGATGCGAGAGGGAGTGTCAGCTCCTGCTTTTCGAGCCGGAGCCCGGGCAACCCGTTAGGTCTTCCGCGGCTCCGTATCGGCTATCAGCTCTATTGGGCCCCGTCTGGTGTCTTAATATGACCTGTAATTATGTATGTAATGGACGTTTGTACGCGATTGGCTAAATCTAATTTGATGTGCTTGTCAGGAAAGTGTTAGTTAACAAACTAAATGTGCTCCTAAGTTTAAACCGTTTAAATGGCGTCATCATTTTGTTTCGTTTATTATTTTATTCCACATTCGTGGCATTCGCCCAAAAGCTATGGCTCTCACAGTCCTATCTAAACATTTTGCTAAATATTTAGTTACTTATCATGTCATGGTATCAAACCCTCAACCCTACGGTATGAGCGGTCGAGCGTTCTAAATAGTATCGTTCTACAGGTACACGGGGTTAATTTTATTTCTCGTATCTACTTACATACTTCTCCTTATTAATTCGACGTTGCCACATGCACCTTTTAATATACTTTAAGTAAAAAGTTTCAATTTAAAAAAAATATGCTAATTTGAATTCCATCAAATCCTAAACTGACTCTAAACTTTTCATAATATTCAAACTTCACTGAAAAACGAGGAAATTTTTGATCACCGCAGCATTTTCGTGCTTTTCCGCTTACTAGATATATTTTTACTAGGATCTAAATTCTTATAACATTCAGTTAATTGTGGATGGACAGTAATTGGAATATTGAGTCTCAATTAATCATGCTTACCAGTCCATATCAGCAACATTGCGAGCAGGCACGGTTGCCTAATTAACTCTATACTAGAAATCGATTAACTCATAGTTATCCCATTAACACGTCCCAATAAATATACCAACACATATCTCCAATGAACGTGAGAATCTCGGTAGATGGATTTTAATAATTAACCTCTCCTTAGGCCTCGTAACGAGGTAAGATCCAGTGATATGACGTCACTGCATACAAGCTAACTTAATCACACACAAGCCTAGGATGACCGGTGAATTTCAACAGATTTGTGTAACCTTGTCTATCACTCAGGTGGGAGGGTGGGACGGTGAAATAAGACCTGTCTAGTCACGTAAACTAGTCAAATTTTGTACAGGTAGAACGTCAAGCGTGACACCCACATTTGTGTCGAACGTGTTTGCCGTGAGTTTGCACAAAATACTCGATGAATTCAAAAATATGTTCTCCCGATATTTTTTTCTACACATCTACCTATTTGTAAGCCTTTCACATGTATGTGTATCAGATTTTTTCATGACCTCACGTTCGAATAACCTTAAGGTTTCATTCCAATAGGTACAAACATTTTCTTTTATATAAGGTATTTTTCGGATGCCCCGCAATTGAATTTCAATATTTTTCCATAATGGACATGGATGGGGTCCCCTATTGTATGTAACTTTATACTGTCACCATAATGCCGTATTGTCAAATATGGGGGCCACCATGCCGTTGCCAATAAAACCCGT